ATCTTAATATACGTTTATAAAATATTATATAAATATTTATATTTTATTTGTATTTTTAGAATGGTCAAAATAGTGATAGTGGTTTGCAGACAAAAGAGGCAATTTTTAATGGTATTGACAAGTATGTTTTATTATTCTTTTTTACAATTTTTTTAATAAATTTAAAATTTTTATCTATTTTTATTTATATTTTACAGATTTAAAGTAGACAATAAAATCTTATATCCAGAAATATGTGAATGGTAAGTGTTAAATAAAATTAATTATTATATTATATATTAATAAAATAATTAAACTTAAAATTTATATTTATATTTTAAAATTAATTTTACTATATAATATATTTTAATATAACTGTTATAATATAATTTATTATATTTAATATTTAATATTTAATATTTTACTAGAGATTGATAAATTATAGAAAAAAATAAGAATTTATTAAATTATTATATTTTTTAAATCTATTTATTTATATGAAATTAATGTTTAAATTTTATATAATATATATAAATTTTAAAAATAGTTTTACTATCGAAATTTTATAATTATCGATTTGTTTTATTAACAATCGATTTATTATAATCGATATATATCGTAATTATTTTCCGTATATTTGTCACGAATTTTTTATATGAAGCTTTTTAATAATGTCTTTTATAAATCCAAAATCATTAAATTAAAAGTATCATTGAAAATTGTTTTAGAATATAAATATTAGTTGTATAGTTATTTTAATACAAAACGAGAAATTTTACTACACTTTAAAAAAGATATTCCTTGCTGCTTCTTTTCATTTTATAATTAGAAAAGGTATATTAAATAAAACATGAAAAATTTATTGTTAAACGTAATCTTATTAGATGCTTGTATGCTCTATGCAGATGATACTAGCTGGTCATGTATGGGCAAAATTTTTAATGCGAATGCACATGCAATCCTCTACTTTAATTTCTAAATTTATTAGAAGATGGTATGAATCCAACTCTGGGAAATATGCTGGACAACAAAATCTAACACAAACTAGCATTTTTATAGAAGAAGGATTAAAAATACAAGAAGTGCCTTTAATTGTTAGAAAAATCAAAGATATTGAAACAATATGTAATAGCAAAAATTCAAAAAATATTTCTATTGTTGATAATTGTTACAAGGTTTTTGATATATCTAAAAAGAATAATTCAGTTACATTTAATAAAAATAATGCCAATTCTAACAATAATACTGTGAAGAATAAACCATTAAATCGAAGAATAGATATTGAAACAGATGAAGGAACTGCAGTATTATTTTGTTCAGATCTTGATTATTTCAAAGATTTGGATGTAGAAGGGACATTAGAGGGATTACATCTATTTAATTTAACCAATGGTGTATATCCAATGTTAGAAAACAAAATCTCACAAGAAATAAATTGCAGAGTAGCTTTGGAAGGATTAAAAAAAGTTATAAATTTAGAAAATAATTGGTTTAAACAGAAATCTAACAAAATGCAAAAAAGTAGACAATTTGATGTTGATAACACAACTAGAGACATGATAATGAAACAATTGATTAAGTTAATTATTAATAGTAATGATTCTGAGATGATAATACAAGGACTTGTAGCTTTAAAAAAAGATAAAGTTAGCCCATCTAGAAACATATATAGAGACTTGATGTGCGATGAAGCTTTAAGTCGAGCAACAGATGGAGAGTTTTCACCTGCACAATTAATAAATTTGATAAAGATTTTATCATCTTATAAGGATTCTAAGTATCGTAAATCAATAGATACATTATGGGTTGGTATATTGCTTCAAGAACAAGAAATTAATACATATACATTAGTAGCATTATTTAAACTATTAAAATATTTTAATCAGAGTAAAAATATGGTGAAACTTATTCTTGAAAGAAAACTTTCTGACTGTTGGTTGAAATTAACTGGCACACAAATTGCAGAAATATTAGATTGTTTTCATGATGATAATTCTGCAATGAGATGTTTAATAAGTGCTAGTAAATGGGCAAGTGTAAATATGAATACATGTAGCGAAAAAGATTTAATAAATTTTATACATAGCTTACATGTAAAAGATTATATTGATGATAAAATTGAAAATACTTTACAAAATTATTTGAAATCTAAAGCATCACATATTGATAACTCAAAATTAATAGCTACAATAATGAATTATTGTAAAGATTTACAAGTCAGAAATGAATGCATTTTATCAGAATGTGGAAAATATTTTATCAAACATGCAATGAATATATCAACTTCTTTACTGCCTTCTATGCTTACACCATTTGGCTTATTATATGTGCAACCACCAAATAGCATAGAATTTTGGAAAGTTTTTGATGAAGTTTTATCTACAAAATTTCATGATCTAAAATTAGATGATGCTTTAGATATTTTTCTTTCCTGTACTTATTTAGAAAAATATCCTGTAAAATTTTTTGATAAAATATTTATCTCACAATTATTACATAAAATTCATTTAAGAAATCATTCTGTTTTCTTTAATCGTATAAGAAATAAATTGAAATTACTAGATACTACTATGTTTTTAGAATCCAAAGAATATCAATCCTTGTATTTCCCTGTGGAAAGAATAGAAAAACCATTATTTTTAGATGCTCGAGTTAGAAAAGCAGTCAATATAATATATCAACCATTGGCATCTTTGGTAGGGGGAGAACAAAAATTGAGTAAAAATGTAATTTTGAATCGATTACCGCTTATAAATTTCTATGTTCTTGATATTTTAATACATCCACGCATGGTATCAACTTCAGTATTTCATTTGAATTTAGATCAAGAAAGAAATGTAAACACTGCAGTTTTTATTTACTTACCAGAATATTATTGTAGAAACTCACATCATTTGATAGGACCTCAAATAATGAGAAAAAGACATATTAAAAAATTAGGTTTTAAAATTATGACATTAGATTATGTAACAATTCAGGAACTTTGGAATCAATCTAATGAATTGTCATCTTATTTATTAAAAAGTTTACATTCCGCAGAAAATGCTTTATAATATATAATAAAATAAAAATATAAAATAAAAAATTCTCTATTTTTGATAAAAATTGTAAAAGTAATCTATAAATCAAATACATTGTATAATGTATAGAATAAAAATTTTTGCAGATGAAAGCTGAATAATTTTTTATAAAATAATGAAAATTATTAAAAGTTTTTATATTATAATTAAATTAATGTTGAATTGTATATTATTGTATGAATTATTGTATAAATTATAATTAAAATATATTAATTATATATTAATATTATTATAAGATATAAATTACATATAAAGATATATACATATATATTTTTTTTCTTTATAGTCGAGTTATAAAATCTCCACAAGAAATTGAGGTATTGGAATATGTAATTAAAATAAGTTCAGATGCCCACAAATCTATTATGCATATGGTAAAACCAGGGCTTGCAGAATTTCAAGCAGAAGCAGCTTTTATGCATTATGTATATTCCATGGGAGGTTGTAGACATGTATCTTACACTTGTATATGTGGATCTGGACATAATGCTTCTATATTACATTATGGACATGCTGGTGCACCTAATAATAAAATTATGAATGATGGTGATATATGGTAAGTTTTGATATAATTTTTGAAATTTAATTAAATTTTGAGTGCAATTTTAAATAAAATTAATTTCAGATTTAAAATCCTATTATTATTTTATAAAACATAAAATAAAAAAAAAGTTTCAATTCTTTTTTACAAGAAAATAATAAAATATCATGTTATGAAATTTTTTTTGCAAATTAATATTTTCTTGTATTTTATAAGCCTTTTCGACATGGGTGGAAACTACTGTGGATATGCAGCTGATATTACATGCAGTTTTCCAGTCAATGGAAAATTTACAGAAGATCAAAAGATGATATACAATGCAGTATTGGCTGCTCGTAATTCAGTAATGAATGCTGCAAAGCCAAATGTTGCTTGGACAGATATGCATATTTTAGCAAATAAGACTATGCTAACTTCATTAAAGAGTAATGGTTTGTTAGTAGGCGATGTTGATGAAATGATAGAAGTAGGATTGAATGAAATTTTCCAACCTCATGGGCTTGGACATCTTATGGGATTGGATGTTCATGATGTTGGTGGATATCTTCCAGGACATCCTGAACGTTCATCAGCTCCAGGTCTAAGAAAATTGAGAACTGGACGTATTTTGCAACCTGGTATGGTTTTAACAATTGAACCTGGTTGTTATTTTATTGACTGTGTAAGTAAAACATATGATTGAATTTTAAGATAAATAAAATATTGAATATTATAATTTTTTAATTATGAATTTGTAATTATATATAATAATAATAGTACAAAATTTTCAATTTAAATATATATATATAAATGATACGATTTTTATTTCATGAAAAATTTTATTATACATTTTTGATGATCAATCATTTAGTTATTAGATGCGGCACTGAAAAATCCAAATCAATCAAAGTTTATCGTTATTGAAGAATTAAAAAGATTCCGTGGTTCGGGTGGTATCAGGATTGAAGACGATATTCTTATAACAGAAACTGGTGTAAAAAATTTAACAGATGTACCTCGCACGTAAGTTTTAAACTGCAAAAATAATATATATTTTTTAAATTAAAAATTTATAAAATTTAATTTAAAAAAAATTTAATTAAAGTGTTGAAGAAATAGAAAAATGGATGGCTATTAAAAAAAATTGAAATCAATTACCAACAAGGAAATTCAATAAAAATTACACAATGTATGCGAATATTTAATTAAGATTTTTATGTAAAGAATCATTATTTACATATTCTATTTTTTATGATATAAAAACAATTGTGATATAAAATTATAAAAATATTTTTTACACGAATTGTTTATAATACATATTATACAAAATTTAATTTTAAATAAGTTTAAATCATTCCTTTATAAATTGTATATAAAAAAATAATAATAAAAGAATATTATTTATTATATGTTACAAAACATATTTCTATTCTTTTAAAAAATATTATGTTTTTTTTTTTATTTGAAAAAATGAAAAAATATATATAAATATATATATATATTTAATTAACACTGGATAATAATTCTTAAATATTAACAAAATATGTTTTATTTAAATAAATATATATAATAAAAAAAGAAAATTGTGATGCATGAATTTTTATCGTGAATTTCAATCCGTATATAATAATTTTTTGTTAGATGAAAGAGAGATGAAGAAGAATAGTGTTAAATGTAACCTTGGATGCGATATCTTAAGTTTATTGAAAGAGAACTTGAGCGCTGTTATTATCGGATATGGTGTTACAGTCGTGGTCGCGGTGTGAACGCGTGTGGTTTTCCTCGTATCCTGAGAATATCGAAAGAGATCGAAAAAATGTACAAGTATTATTTTATTAAAGTCTCATTTTATTTTCTTCTTTTAAATCTTTCTTTCTCTATATACATTAGTGGTACGTATGTTTTTAGAAATTATTTATAACATATGTGTATAAGAATGCACATTGATCTATAATATATTAATATATATTTTTAATAAAAATAAATTTTTTTATAACTATAATATTTGAAAAAGATTTTATAAATAATTCATAGTTGAATAATTGATAAGTTATGTATATGAATCTTCAAAAATCTATATAATGTATTTAATGTACATTTTATATATTATTTAATTAATGACATTATTATTAAGTAATTGAAATGAATTTTATTATTATTATTATTATTATTATTATTATTAATTGAAATGAAACAAAATTTTTCAATAATTTTTATTTAGAATGTTAATAAAGATTTATTTTACGAAATATTTCATTTTTTTTTCATGTAATTTAATTTTGAATAAAAATTTTGAAGTAATATCTATATTGTATATTTTACATAATTTTATATTAAGATTTGAATTAAAAAAAAAAATTAAATTTAAAATTAAAATAAAATTTAAAAAAACAATTGTTTAAATTTTAAATTAAAGAAAAGTAATAAACTTGTAGACGAATATGACTTCCTTTCTTCTTAATGAAGATTCATAGTATGTATTCTGATGTCGACATCAAAAGCGAAAGAGATTGGATATTTGCTGATTGACCTGTCTTTTCAAAGATACATAGAATATAATGGTAGCTGATAAATTGTAATAAACAATTAATCATCAATGAAAAAGTCTACTACTAATCAGTGATTAAAAATAAAAATTTTATATGCAATGGAATAAAAGATAATTTATACAATAATTTAATTACAATTAATCGAATTATTAATAGATGGAACATATGGTTATAAAATTTTGAATAAATGAATTAATTAATACTTATTAGAAATATTTAAATATTTGGATTTAATAATTGGTTCAATTAACTTTTAATAAATCTTTAAGCAAAATTAGTAATCTTAAATTTGCAATTTTTTTCTAAAATTAATACTTATTTTAAAAAGATTATTTTTTATTTATTTAGCTTGTTATTGTAATTATAGTAATATAAGTAGAGAATTAATTAAATTTTTGAAATGAAATAACGGAAAAAAATTATTAAAAGATTAAATAAATATTTAATTAAATATTAAATAGATATTTAATCTTTTAATAATTTGAAATCAACATTTTTTTTAAAATTCATTAGAAATTTAAATAGTTCTAAATATAACAAATAAAGTTTAATAAATAAAATAAAATTTATTCATAATAATTTCATTATGTGATAATAAAACTAAAAAAAAAGAAAAGATAATCTAAATAATAGAAAAATTCGATAATTTTAAATTAAGTAAAAAAATTTAAATGAATTTTACTATTTTAAATATTTTATTTTAGATTGTAAAAAAATAATTTCAATTAAAGATTTATAGTTGACATATGTATGTCATTTATCCAGAAAAAGTGATAATATAGTTACCTATTTATCATTTCTTTTTTTTTCCACAAATTATTATTTTATGCGCATATTAACTAAAATTCGAATTCAGTAAGTATATATATAGTTATTAATTACAATATTTAGACGAAAATCATCTAATTCGAAAATTTTAATTTGAATAGGAATTTATATGCATGTAAAACATAATAGGTTACATACGAAACAATTTTTTTTCTACAGGAAATTTCTTTGGAAGTGAAATCAAGTTTCCAATCAAAAGCATGATACAATGTTATTTGGGAATTTTTTTTAGTGTAATGCGTTTTTCATTCTTTTAAACGTAATTCTGTAATGATGCGAAATAGATGCATATTAAATTTTGTTACTAAATATAAAATAAAAAATGAATGAATTAATGCCCAATATTTAAAAAAAATAATTTTCATTAGTTGTTTAATTTAAAATTTATAAATTTTGTTACTATTTGAAAATTTTATTTAAAATTTTCTGATGAATATTAGATTCTATTAAAAATTAATAAATTTTATTTTGTGATTTAGATATTAATGTAAAATCATAAAACAAAAAACAAAAATAACAAATGTATAATTACAATTTAATTTCCTCGTTAACAAAATAGTTTTATAATAATTCTTTGTAATTAATTCATTAATTATTATAATTGAGTTCCATTGAAATTCATGTAAATATTTTTCGTATAATGGCAAAAAAAATATTACAAAATAATAATTCTTCATAATAAAATCTCTTTTTTTCGCAATTTGCTTTGTTTATTAACAATTGATTTTTTCTTTTTTTTTCTTTTTATTTTTTCATTGCGAACGTAAGCTTTATTTTAATTTATAAGCGATCAACTAAAGGTAATCAATGAAGACGGACCGTTTACATCGATTTCTATTACGTAGAGGAATGAGGAAGCTTTATAAATATGAACCTTTGACGCAACATAAATATATGACAGTCAGCTGCATCATACGACCGGAATAGTGGTAGTCGAACTCGTCACGAGGTTGCGATGTCAATGATTTGAGATGTTAAACAAACCTCTACTTTATGTGAACAGTTGGATACGATGCTATAATCATGTTCCGAATCTTATAATATTAACTGAATTTCGATTATGTGTACAATATAATTATAATTATTCGGAATATATCGAGTTTTGACAGAATGAATTTGAAAAAAAACAATAAAATATAGTTAAAATAAGAAATGAGGTGAGTACAAAAGTTCTATTTTTTTTTAGTGGTTATAATAGGCTCAAATAAAAACTAACTTCTAAATAGTAACTACAGATGTCGTAATGATGTGTACAAATTGCTGACGTATTGTTTGAAGTGAGAATTAAAGAAAAGTCTTGCGATGGTTACTCAATAATTAGGGAATTTTAATAAAATATATTACCATACTTTCTATGTATTCTTGATTTTTTATTTAATTAACTTCATTCGGAATATTTCTATTAATATTCTCTAAAGAAAATTAAATTAAAAAAGTTCACAATTTTTCAAAGATACATACAAATGGCAAAATTTTTTCACCGATAGATACAAATATGACGAAATTAAATCAGTGTATAAAAAATAAATCAAGAATGTATCAATAAATGATCAATTAAAGATTTTAATTCTAATAATAAATATTTTTTTATAATATACTCAAAATATATTGAATCTATTATACGATATTTCAATTAATATTATTTTTTAATTGAAATTAATTAAATATAATTTTCCAAATGTTAGAAATTTTATTAGGAATTCAGCAATTCATCTACAAAAATTTAATATAAAAAGTTTATTCAATAAATTGTTTAAATAACAAAGATAACAAATAACGAAGATGTAATACGAATAATTGAAACATTTTCTCATCGAATTCATTTTAGTTGATTAATTATAAAAATTATTTATAATTTTTATAATTAATTATAAAAAAAATGTTTAATAAAAATATTTTAGAAAAATTAAATATATCTCAATATTTTTGAAACTAAGAAAAAGAAAAAAATTAGTTATTAATTGAGATTATTTATCTAAAAGTTTTTAAATATTTTAAAATAAGAAAAAAAAATATTTGAAGAAAGATTAATTATTATTTTTATATAATTATTTTATTATTATTTAATTTTTTACAGAAAAATTTAATTGGATTTCAATATTATCAATAATTTTACAGTGTTTCTTGACAAAATTCTCGAGTCGTAAATTTCATTCTTTTTCATCATTAAAACGTGATTTTTTTTGATGATGTCATTCGGGTGAACAGTCGAATCAGTTCGATAAACTAAAAATAGCGATTTCGGTTTAAGACTACTTTTTAATTTTTAATTTTTATTTTTGTATATATTAATTTCGAATAATTGCCAACTTTATTTATGAATTCTTTCAATGCAAGACGAAATACAATCAATCTTTGAGACACAAGTAATGTAATACTTGTAAACAAATAATTTTATCAGTTTTTTAAGTTCAAATGAAAATCTGACATACTTTATCTGAAATGATGCATTGAATTATAAATGTAATAAAATAAAATTCATTAAAATCGATGAAATTGTTTGAAATTGGTATTCTAATTTAAAGGAGAAGTAAATTTATTATTTCATTTATTGATTTATTTATAAAAATTGAGAGTTGATGATATTACTTTATATATTATAAGTAAAAAACTGAATTTTAATCTTTAATTGTAAATCTGTAATGTAATGCTAATTTATTTGATAATTAAATATCGTTTAATTAATTGATGCTTGTTTTTGAGAAATAAACAGAGTCGAATATTAATCATTGATAGAAAAAATAATTTTATATTTAAAATTTATTAATAAATAATTATTTATTATTTTTACAATAGTTATTTATTATCTATAATATTAATTAATATTAAAGTTTTGAATTCCTTCTTTCAAAAATAGTACAATGTATGACAAATAAATATATGCAATCAATTCTATAAAATCAATTTTGTAAAATCAATTCTTATAAAATAATATAAAAGAAATTAAAAGAGATTAAATAGCTAAAAAACTCAATAATCAATATTTAAAAGAATCTAATTTTATTCTATATAATAATAAAACTTATTTTTTGGTGAAATTTATATAAAGAATATTAAAATTGATAATTTTTTATCTATAACAATGCAAAAATACTTTAATTTGAAGTTTTTAAAGATATTTATTTTGATTTTCATATAAATATAACATAAAATATTAAAAAATTAAAAAATTATATATATAAGTAAAGTATTATTATTAATTGTTAGATTAGATTATGTCACATTAGATTATAAACTATAATATATACGATGAAAATATTATAAAACATATATATTCTATATCGTTATCGTTAAGAAATATAAAACAAAAGAAATTGATTTTTTCTTGTACGAGATATATAAATTCTCTTTAAAACGAAAAAGCAATGTATCATAACCTCATTAACAACATTCATATTTTATTTGTGCACAACGTGCATATTATTGTGAATCGCATAAAAATAGAAATCCAACGAATGGTAGAAAAAAAAGTCAGGAAAATTTGTCGGAAATTATTTTCGGAAAAACCTTTTGAATAATTTTAAACAGTATCAGTATATTTATCCCAGACACAAGCCAAATTTACTTTTCTCGGTTACCATTTAAAATGAAACTTGAAATAAAAATAAAAAGAAAAAAGAAGGAACGAAATGGAAATGACAAAACAAGATGAACGAAATGAGCATTGAAAATAAAAAGAAAAAGGGAGAAAATGAAGGAGGAAGAGAGAGGGATGGAAAGAGAAGAGTAAGTAGCAGAAACACGATAATTCGAAACGAACTCGCGACTAGTCATTGATCGACCGCGAAACGCTGAGCGCCGCGACGCCCTCTCTCCTTTTCTTAACCCCAAGTACGTCCCCACCTGTGCTTGTTCACAATCGTGTCAGACATTTAAGCGTCACGTCGGAAACACGCCTCCCTCTTTCTCTCGTTCTCTCCTCTCTTCTTCCTTTGTTTCTCTCTCTTCTTCGCTTTTTTATTTGTCGTTCATCGACTCATTGTCAGCCAGAAGGAGAATTCGTCGACAAACTTGGTGCTCGTTTCATATTTCCTCGTTCTGTCATGGAAACGGATAGAAAGAGAAAGATATAGGAATAGATAGAGATAGAAAGAGAGAAACTGGTGCATGCAACACGCGCGAACAGATAGTACTTCTTTACCGCGTGAAACTATTTTTCATTTTTTTTTGTTTCCAGAGCAAGAAACGTGTTGATCGCCGCGCGAGTGATTAGTTTTGTGATTCGATTGAACGAGTGGCACAATCGAAAATCACGGGAATAGCTAGATAGAGAAACAAGTGGTGCATGTCGTTTCGTGGCAAAATGTGCTGTGACCAACAATGCATGAAGAAAACGTTCGATCACAGTGTGGTTTAATTATTTTTGAAGGTTATCTTATATATGCGGATCGGATATAAATCGGTATGTGCTAATGCGCGTTGTTGATTCGATATCATTGTTGTGCAACCCTGTGTATGTCACTGTGCTCATTGAATTGCTTTGTCTGAATGGGGTGGCGGTGAACGACCGTTTCTAGGTCGGTCGAGAGATCCACTGGAGCTTAATTGACGCGGTTCGAGGGATTCTAGGAGCGAGTCGAGGAAAATTGGGACATCGAACGCGGAATTCGGGACAAAGGTTCCTTTCTTTGAGATTTAACGTCAAGAACATCGTTCTTTTTATTGCCTTGATTGCATCGCTTGGTGTCGATCGTTCCACGTCAAATGTGAAAACGGCGCGGACCAAATTGGGTCATTGGAAGATACCCCAGAGTGATCAAGCAAAATTTTAAACGAAAATTTTAAATAGAAAAAAAAAACCAAGTGCAAACGAGAACAAACATTTGTGCGTGTATAATACGTAGGATCGTTAATTCGACATGTTTTGTTTCCAAACGCCGTTCACACGCGCCTCACGTGTGCTCGTATCTTCCTTGTCTTCTAATAAAACGAAGACTTCCTCTATGAGTATCATTCTTCCAGTGAATAAGAATTCGAGCTCTAAGTGCGATGGACAAGACTCGGAAGTTGCGAGTGAAGGTTCTGGCTCCTCAATCGGATATATTGATCAAGAACCTCTAGTCTCTGACACTAGTAGCACGGACAGTACACTTCCGGATATTAAAGCGGATTACTTGGATCCGGAGACTTTGTCACCTGGGCCAGATTCTTTGACGGCACCAACTTCCGTGATCATTGTCGAGAATGGTATAGACGAATCGAACGATCGCAATATACTTTTAAAAGATAACGAACAGAATCACCACGTGATTCCTTCCTCTGTGCCGGAAAAGCAATCGTACAGTAATAGACGGTGCAAGAAATTACTTCTCCGTCTTCGTTCCAATGATTCCTCAAATTCAACGAATAACAAAGAAGACAGTCTGGATGCGGTTAACGACTCGATTGAACCCATTTCACCTGTCTCGAATAAAGAATGCGGAGACGAAGAGAAAGAATATAAAAGCGGAAAAACGACGCTACTCACGAACTCGTCGCCGTCGGTGCTGATCGATTCTGTAGACTCGGAGGAAGACGCGCTAAGAAACTCGAGAGTGACAGCCGTGTCTGAGAACGATATATCCTCGTTGCAAAATGTGTTCAGCGAATCAGAGAAGAATATATTCAATCAGGAACGGAAACAGAGACGGAGGAAGGATCCTCGTTGCCGTTGAGCCCCGCTGGCCCATCTACCGCTGGTTTATCTTCGTCAACTGTACCTTATTACAATTTTCTCTGTGTTAATGGTGGAGCTATGCGACAAGAGATGACCAGCACCAGTTCCCCGCAATTGTCCTCGGATAGTAATCATAGATCAAGCGCCGAATCGACACCGGTTGACGCTTGTAACTCGTTTAACGTGGAAAAGAGTTCTAGAATAGACACATTAAAACCGGAGAGTTTGGAAAGCACATTTTGTTTACCTGCTGCGAGATCTTGTCCTAATTTAGAGAGGCAGAGTGCTGGATGTTCGCCAACTAGTGGATCCTCTGGTTCTAGTCCTAGCCCAGGTCCTGTTGGGCCTAGGTTTAAACCAATAGAGGAGGGGGACATTCAGGTGTGCTTTTTGAATTATACGAATCTGGTGAAAAAAATATTATCGAGTAAATACCTGAGAAGATGGGAGACGCATCATCTTTATTTGAACGATACCTGCATCTCGTCTAAGACGGTAAGTTTTTCTTGATAAATTATTATTCGAATATATTGAATGTAAGTTTGGACGAAGTTCAAGTTTAGTTTAAAAGATTTAGATATATCATTGAAAATAAATATTTGAAGAGTTTAAAGATAAAAACGGTATAAGATGTTTAATTTTATTTTATGCTATTATTTTATATTATTAATTTTGATAATATAATTTTGAAATATATATATATATATATACTTTGTTATTTGTTATACTTAAAAAGAAATTAAATTTTTATAGATTTATAAAATTTAGGCAGATTATATAATTTAAAATTATTGTATAAGCTAGATACCTTTCTTCGTTCAATTTTTTTTATATCTCTGTTCATTCCAATGCAAATTTGAAATTTTCGTAGAAATAAACTGCGAACTTCTGTATTTTGCATGTCATAATCTATCGTATCTTTGTACATAATTGACTTTAATAAGTTTCGTGTCATGTGCGTCATCAATGGCCCAAAGGTAAAGTTTTCATTATCCAAAGAAACATGTTTTTCACTTCATTGACCATATTATCGACTTAAAAGATCAAAGAACTGTTTAAAAGAAATTTCTATCATCTATTACTTGTACATTTTTCAATGATTAACGTGCACTTTTATTTGATTCAAAAGTTTTAATAAAATTCATAAATTCTCATGCTTAATATATACATAAGCAAAATAGACTATATTATATAAACTTACTGATAAAAATTAAAAAACAAATTAATCATTTGCATCAACTTAGTTTTGTGTACAATTAATCAAATCATTGCCACGCAAGTGTCGTGCAGTTATCAAATTCAAACGGCTTATCCAACATAGGATATCACAAAAAAATTACAAATATTTATACAATTTTACATATTGTGCCAATAGTTTTCTTTCGATTTCTTATTTTTTTTTTTGTACGAATATCACAATTTAGATAGCTTTGTGATAATAGTAATTTAATTATGTATTTGTATTTTCGGTATTGAAATGAATTGATAATATTTTTTTATAATGTTGATAATACTTTTTAATTTTTATGAACTCGAGTATCGATATAGCTTTTTTTAACAAATTTTTTTTAATTTTAATGTAATAAATGATCATATTAAAATATATATTATTCATTGTTGCAACAATAATATACTTATAATTTTTAAGAAAAAAGGAATTTAAATGTTTTCAAAAAAATTTCAATTTTGAATTTCATTTATCTAATATAATTCATTGTACATAATTTCTATATATAATATTAAGAGAACAATTATTAATAATTATTAGTAATACCGTATTAAATAATAATAAATAATTATTGTTATAATAATATTTCCTAATTATGATATCATTAAAAGTTAATAATTCATAGATTATAATTGTTGAGAGTTAAAAAATTTGTTAAAAATTAAAAATAGATATATTAATTGCGATAAATCATTCTAATATTGTTTCGCGTTAGCAATTTTAAGCAATTTACAAATTACGAATTAATATAAGAAACATAAAATTAAGAGATCGTTTATTATTGTAAATTTATATCACTTATGAAAAAAGCAAGCGAAGAAAAAATAATTAAAATTTTTTCAATCTTATTTATATTACAATAATATCAACACAATTTCTATTTTATTTATTAACAAATTCAATAGCATTCAAAGAATTGTTGTATTAATATTATTCCTTCGTTCCGAGCATTTCCCTTTTTCCCAATGTAACGTTTGCCTTTCGCTCGAAACGATATCTTCCACCACATTGGTGATCGCCATAATATTCAAACTCGAAAAATTAACGTGGATAACAATCTTGTATCGAAATATACGTATAACCGGATTGGAACTCGTTATTCTATCAGGTAACCACGAAAAAAGAAAAATGAAAAATAAATCAAATTGTCTTTTTCACGATGCAAGCGTAATCTGAAACGGTCGCGAGACGCATTCAGGGTCAGCTTTGACGCAAGTGAGGCACACGTACACGTATACGCACGTGCATCTCCCTTTTGTCCTGTACCGTGTGTGTGTGTGTGTGTGTGTGTGTGTGTGTGTGTGTGTGTGTGTGTGTGTGTGTGTGTGTGTGTGTGTGTGTGTGTGTGTGTGTGTGTGTGTGTGTGTGTGTGTGTGTGTACGTACGTACGTACGTACGTACGTACGTACGTACTAC